TGGAATGGTTCCTCAGCCTCGTGAGTCTCAGCTCACGTGGAGTCACATTTGTGATGATGGTTCTAGACCCAGTCAGGGACGTATCTGGAACAGATACTCTGTACTCTATAAATACATATACAGTATTACAGTATTACACAGTATGTACTGTAATACTGTATATATACTCTGTACTCTATAAATACATATACAGTATTACAGTATTACACAGTATGTACTGTAATACTGTATATATACTCTGTACTCTATAAATACATATACAGTATTACAGTATTACACAGTATGTACTGTAATACTGTATATATACTCTGTACTCTATAAATACATATACAGTATTACAGTATTACACAGTATGTACTGTAATACTGTATATATACTCTGTACTCTATAAATACATATACAGTATTACAGTATTACACAGTATGTACTGTAATACTGTATATATACTCTGTACTCTATAAATACATATACAGTATTACAGTATTACACAGTATGTACTGTAATACTGTATATATACTCTGTACTCTAGGGTGCGACAAGAATGGTCCTGATGAGGTCACATCCTCTGATCCACTTCCTCTTCAGACTCCTGACCAGTAAACAGGAAACAGGAGGAGGAGGAGGAGGAGGAGGAGACACTCAGAGACCTGTCCTCCCTCAGCAGCTCACAGACATGAACTACAGACCTCAGCAACAGACAGACAGACCATGTGTCTGAACCATAAATAATACAATGTATCACCAGGATCAGTACCAGGATCAGTACCAGGATCAGTACCAGGATCAGTACCAGGATCAGTACCAGGATCAGTACCAGGATCAGTACCAGGATCAGTACCAGGATCAGTACCAGGATCAGTACCAGGATCAGTACCAGGATCAGTACCAGGATCAGTACCAGGATCAGTACCAGGATCAGTACCAGGATCAGTACCAGGATCAGTACCAGGGACCCCCCATATAAACAACCAGATGGACTCTGTGTTCTCCTTGTTGGTTTTACTGAGGCCCAATCAGCATCCAGCCCATTTAACCCCACAGCGAGGGCTCAGAGTCGTTGGGTCACAGCCCTTTGTCATCTGACGTTTGACACAAGACAAAAGTCCACCGTCCTTTCAATCGGAGCGCCCCTCTCTGGCTCTGCTTTGTCATACACATTTAACCCACACTCCATCTGTGACACCAAGACCCGGTGACCCCGGTGGGCTCCCACGAACAAAGACAGCACTGGGCTAACTGGGCTAACTGGGCTAGCTGGGCTAGCTGGTAGGGATGCACCGCATTTTCAGTTTTCAGCTGAAGGACGAGAAGTTCTGATGACATCAGCAAAAACCACAGCCAGCTGGGACTTGTCCGAAAGTATTTCAANACTGGGACTGTTTCAGTTCAGTCAAACTGAATTCTAGTTCAGCACTGACCCTACGTCTGTGGAGGCACTGACACCGGTCAGTGTTCTTACAGCAGGAGGCGCTGCACCTGACCTCACGCGTGACTGGCTGTCGTCAGGTATAATGTCTAACTGGGCTAAGTGACCATGTGACCATGTGACCATGTGACCTTCTCTGTACTCTTCAGACTCCACCATAAATGGGTTAAAGTCCACACTAACCCCCTGCCCCGCCCCCTACTTTGAACATTGTACCAGATTAGGAGAAAATACTGTTGGATTTACTACACATGTAAACATGACTTTACTGCAGTAGTATCTTCAGTACACAGTATCTTCAGTACACAGTAGTATTCACAACCTCATGGTTACTAGGCAACAGCTCAGTGTTTCTGCAGCTCCTGTCTCACCACTGGGGGAGTGAACCTTGGTGTCCTGCCAG